TAAGCCAGCAGTGTCATTTTTCTCCCTGAGGGCTCCCAGACTGGAAGAGGGCACAAGCCCGGCCTGAGGGACCCCCCTTCCCCCCCCCCCCCCCCCGAGTGCACAAATTTTTGTGCACCGGGCCTCTAGTGTTAAATAGGGAAGCTGAGTGAAGGGTGTAGGCCAATTATTTGTGCTTACTTGTACCTTTTCTGTCAGTATAAAAGTACTTCAAAATCAAAAATTAAAAATGTTAATACAAAACAACTGGGGGGAATGGGAAGTCAATGTGATCTTACAGTGCAAGTCTAGCCAGAATGAGGCTGTGAACACTGTGTGGATCAGACCTCACTGGAACACAGGATTTGGCTCTTGGAAGGTGAGGTGACTACATTGTATGAGGAACAGTTGAGGGATCTGACTCTGTCTTCAGTTCTCCAACAGGCATCTGGGACAGAGAAAGCAGACTTGTCACAGGGAGACAAATTTCTGTTCAGTATGAGGAAAGGCTTTTTGCCAATAGGACAGCAAAACGATATATAGAGCAATCTTGTGAGTTCCCTGTCATAGGACATGTTCTGATAGAGACTGGACAATCAATTCTCAAGGATGTCATAGAGAGATTTCACGAATCCAATCAATGCTGGGCCCGAGGACCATGAAGGTCCTTCTGATGAAGAGCCTGTGGTTCCTTGTTATTTTCTGGTATTGGGAATTTGAGCACTTCTGAAATAAAAGACAACCTGCGTTGGATTGGTATGAATATTATTTTTTGTTCATATGGGACATGAATCATCTTCCTCTCACATGGACTATTTCAATATATAATTCTTATCACTTTGGAAAATTCATTTGTCCTCCAGAAATGAGCTGGTCACAGTGGTAAGAGTCAAAATGCTTTTATTTTAGAACATGTTATTTAACCACATGAAAATAGGGCCCGAGAAATCAGAAACAAAAACATAAGAGAAAGTTTAACAATAATTTGGATATTCAAAGTGTCAGGACCATGCACCTTCTCCCAGTTGCTGTCAGCTGGCCTGCTCACATGGCTTGTTCCAGCAGTTATCACTCTTCATGAAAAATTGAGCCCTTGTTTTTTATGTAATGCTTCCACCAGCTCACTATACAGGATATTTACCTGGAAAAAAAGAATAGCAAATAGATTTCTAGAGGGGAAAGGATATGTGGGAAAGCTTCCCCAAGCCATGGTGATGGCATGATACTCTAACCCAGGGATGGAGAACCTTTATTCTACCAAGGGCCATTGGATATTTATAACATCCTTTGTTAATTTAATTCATTTGGTATAAATTTATGTTGCTATGAAAAAAATCTCCTAGATTTATTGAATTTCAAGTCCCACCTGTTCTGGCAGGGCCAGAACAAATGATTTCATGGACCTTATGTGGCCTGCAGGCCAGACATTCCCCACCCCTACAACCCAAACATGAGCCACATTGAGGAGAAAATATAGTACACTCTTGGGGAAGAGGGACCCCATTCATACTAGGCCTGTTTTCTAGGGACAGACAGCTATTATAAGGGAGGAGATACCTAAAGCATAAACAATCGTTTGCTCTTATTTGGTAACTAGACTTTTTCTCCACTAAAGCCTCTCCTGGTTAGTTTAATGGCCTAAAAGTCTGCAACTCAGAATAGTTCCTGGAGAAAATACCTTTTAAACAGTCATTGTTCACAGAGGCCAGTACTTCCCTGCATGCACTGGCACTAACAGTGATGCACCTATCCATAGCCCACTCTTAATTAGATTTCATTTGCTATCCCTACGTTTCCCCCTGTTCACCATCCTTCCTGATTTTCTCTAAGAAATTACTGTTTACAGTCCCCTCACTCTTGCAGTTCTACGGAACCGAGAGGAACGATGAGCGAGAGCCTTTCCTAGCTAAGGAAAGTAGCATCAGATCTTTACTGAGAGCCCAGGTAGAACCTCTCTGCCATAAGTCCTGCCATCCACCTCTAGCCTCTCCCTCCTCACCTGAGTTTCATAGGTTCTCTTGAGGGAGCCAAGGTGGTCAAGAAAACGCAATGACAGGCCACACCATTTTTCAGCAGATACATACTTTCTCCTGCCATACATATATATTCCAACATTCCAGGACATCATCATTAGCCAGAGAATCTCCATTTCTGGGTAGCCTTCCTGAAATCCAAGAACAGTGGGTATACTATCACAATCATTGTAGCACTGACTATATCAGTGCTGCAACCCATTGTTTTTAAATAATGGGTACTTGCCCTAGCCGGTTTGGCTCAGTGGCTAGAGTGTCGGTCTGCAGTCTTAAAGGTCTCAAGTTCGATTCTAGTCAAGTGGGACATGCCTGGGTTGCGGGTTCTATCCCCAGTTGGGGGCATGCAGGAAGCAGCCAATCAATGATTCTCATCATTGATGTTTCTATTTCTCTCTCCCTCTCCCTTCCTCTCTGAAATAAATAAAAATATATTTAAAAAATAATAATGGGTGCTCTGGTGACACCAAGGAAGGAGCCCCAGTCTCCACAAGCAATCGTGTGCCTGGAGAGCAGAAGAGCACTTTGAAGCTTTGTCAGATGTAGAATGCTCCAGATCAAGACTTCATGAAGTGACATAAACCAGAGAAGCAAAGAGGCCATCCTGGACTGAGTCCTGGTCTCCCTGAAGCAGGAGAAAAATCTGTATTTTGTTTGGGGGTTCCCTTGGTCCTGTCCTCAGTCAATGATCTCCTTAATACCTACCTCTAATCCTCTAATTTTCAGAGAAGTTTGTCAAGAAGCAGTTTTATTGAATCTATTAAGTTCCTTCACCCAAATTAGTACGTGTTTGGAATATAAATTACATTAATCTTTATTTTTTGCATACACACACATGCGTGGGAAGGAGAGAGGGAGGGAGGGAGTCAGGGAGGGAGAGATATTGATTTTAATAAACTGGCTCGAATAATTGCGGGGGCTGGCAAGTTTGAAATCTGTAGGGTAGGCCAACAGGCTATAAATTCAGGTAAGAGTTGATGCTGCAATCTTGAGTCTTGAGTCAGATCTGTGTGGCAGGCCAGCAGGCTGGAAACTTAGGCAGGATTTCTATGTGAAAGTCTTGAGACAGAATTCGTTCTCCAGGAAAACTCAGTTCTTGCCTTTAAGGCAAAAATTGGTTATGGAGGGTAATCTGTTTTTACCTAACACCAACTAAATATAATTTAAAAAGTAAATATTAATTTTTAGTGTTGACAAGATCTACCTGGCTATGAACAAAGGGTACATTTCTAAGATGGTCCCTTTGCCATATGAGTGTCTTTAACATGGATGAGTACAAGATTTTCAATAGTGAAGAGGATTAGTCTTAGGGAGCAACTTTCTTAGTTCTTATACAGGAGATGGACTACAAAGGGAGCATCCATGTGCTCATTCCATGTTAAAGCCCTTCATCTATACACTAGATCTTAGGTTGTTGGAAGGGGAAACAGCCGTCAATGACATTGAGAATGTGAATGATGTTGTCTCAGCTGTAATTCACTCATTTGGATCTATAAAATAATTACTATGGCCTTGGCCAGTGTGGCCCAGTTGGTTGGAGCGTCATTCCGTGCACTGAAAGGTCATGGGTTCAATTCCGTCAGGGCACATACCCAGGTTGAGGGTTCTATCCCCAGTTGGGCATGTACAGGAGGCAACCAGTTGATGTTTCTTTCCCTCCATCTCCCTTCCTCTCTCCAAAAATCACTAAAAGCATATCCTTGGATGAGGATTTTAAAAAATCAAAATGCATAAAACACTATGAAAATGAGGATGCTAAGAGGGACAGGATAAAGCTCTTATCCTAAAGGACACATACTGCCTTTGGAGAGACAAGGTATCTCCACATAAGGAGGACTACACAAGATTTATAACTAAGGGTTAGTCAGAGCAACACAGGCATTAAGCATTTTCGTTCAGTGAAAGAAAAGAGCATTAGGCTGGCACAGAGGTCTAGTTTCTCTGCTTGAAATGCCAACCCCTTATCCACTTGGTAAACTTTTATTTTTTCTTCAAATTCACAAAGAGTTAGTTACTCCTATCTCTCTGTTACCATACCAAGTATTAAATTCTTCTAACACAACTTATCAGGTTGTTTGAAACTGTATATACTAGTATTTTATCTCCTGTAGACTGTTGATTTCCTTGAGGCACAGGAATCTGTCTTATTCATCTTTGTATACTCATAATCCAACACCGTGCCTGGTACATGATAGGGGCACAATAGGTGTTTGCTGAATGAATAAATCAATGAATGAACAAATGAATCGATATCTGGTCAAATGCAACCAACTTGGTGAGGCTTTCCCTGATTCTCCACAAGTTATTATCCCCACCAATTTGTTCCTATGGCACTTTGTTCACAGCACTACAATAGCACTTATAACACAGTGTTGTCTATCTCCTCTACTAGGCTGGGAGTTTCTTCAAGGCAAAATATCGTCTACCTTACATATTCACAACCTGGCAGTGTCTGACAATGCTGTGATTTTAACTGAATGAATAATAAAAAAGACTGAACAAACAAACATGGTCTTAGGGTATATGAGTAGGATCTAGATATGCAAGGGTTATATGAAATGTCCAGAATAGGCAAATAGGGATAGAAAGCAGATTGGTGGTTGCCAGGGGCTGTGGGAGGGGTAATGGGGAATGACTGCTAATAGTTATGGGGTTTCTTTTTGGGCTGATGAAAATACTCTGGAGTTAGGTAATGGTGATAGTTGCACAATTTTGTGAATGTTCTAAACAATGGAATTCTATACTTTGAAATTGTGAATTTTAAGATATATGAATTATGTAAATAAAAATTACAAATATATAGACATCAGAGAGATAAGGGCATTCCATATGGGTAAAACAGAATGAATAAAATCTTGGATTGTGCTTGAGACTGAGAATGTTTCAGGGAGACTAATAGTTATTTGGCCTAAGCAGACACTTTATGTAAGGAAATTAATGGAAAATAGGACTAGAAATGTAGGAGGGGGCTACCTCAGCATTTCCTGCCGGGAGCCGGTCCATCCTTGCTGCTTGACACAGTCGCTGCAGGAAAAAAAACATCTGCACAGCATATGTTTCAAGGGACCTGGCGTATATGGCATACTGTTCTTAATATGTTTGCTCACCTTCTTGGTGCTATGTGTTTTAACCAAGGTCACCTCTCTGAGAAAGGTTGTTTCCCCAGGTAGGAATTTTCCCCTGAAGTTAGGGAGGGAATAAAACCCCTTAACTAAGTGCCAGGGGGGTAGTTAATCACTTTAACTACGAACAATCACGCTTAAGCTACATAATCTTTACTCCCTGGAATGGAGATAAGAAACGCCCTAACCTTTGGAATAGAGATTGATAGGATTGGAATCAACTGGTATAAATACAGATGTAACAAGACAACAGAACACAGAACCTAGAGAGAGACAGAACCTAGCGAGAGAACCTGGCTGAAGAACCTAGAGACAGGACTTGGCTGGAGATCCTACACAGAACCTAGAGACAGAACCTAGCGACAGAACCTAGCAAGAAAATGGCAAGAGAACCTGACTAGAACCTGGCGACAGAACCTGCCTGGAGAACCTAGACAGAACATGGCAGGAGAACCTGGAGAAGCTGGATGGAAAACCTAGTGAGAGAACATGGCTACAGAACCTGGCTGGAGATCCTGGACAGAACCTGGCTACAGAACTTGGTTGGAGATCCTAGACAGAACTTGGCTGGAGATCCTGGAGGGAGAACCTCGCCATGATGATCACCTGAATGCAGCCTCCGAGTCCTTCCTTATTCGCTGACTCCGTCCACACCTTTGGGGACCCCTGGACCTGCTGGGGTTGGACCCCAGCAATTTCCTAAATGCTTTTCCTTAGAACATTAGTGTTACAAAAAATGTTAATAGATGGTCATAATAATCAGGTCAAATACTGCATTCTATATAAACCTTTTTGGAGCATTGTAATGCACATTTAGTTCATTAAAAGTTTTAGGAAGTTTTACAGTAAAGAAACCACATAACTTTGCTTAATCCAGGGTATGCAGATTTTCTGAACATTTAAGATAAATGGAATCACACATTACGTAGTCCTTAATGACAGGCATCTTTCACTTAGTATGCTAATGTTTACAAGGTTCATCCATATTGTAGCATGTGTCAGTATTTTGTTCTTTTTAATGGCCAAATAATATTCCATTGTATGGAAATACCACATTTTGTTTAGCCATTCATCAGTTGATAAAACTTTGGGCTATTATAAATAACTAGAGGCCTGTGTACAAAAAATTTGTGCACTCGGAGAGAGTCCCTCAGCCTGGCCTGTGCCCTCTCGAAGTCTGGGACCCCTTGGGGGATGTCCAACTGCTGGCTTAGGCCCACTCCCCGGGGTATTGGGCCTAAGCTGGCAGTCAGACATCCCTCTGGCAGCCTGGGAGACTCGGGGGATGTCCACTTGCCAGCAGAGAGCAGGCCTAAGCTGCAGTCGGACATCCTTAGCGCTGCTGAGGAGGTGGGAGAGGCTCCCACCACCACCACTGTGCTAGCAGCTGTCAGCCTGGCTTGTGGCTGAGCAGAGCTCCCTCTGTGGGCGCGCACTGACCACCAGGGGGCAGCTCCTGCACTAAGCATCTGCCCCCTGGTGGTCAGTGTGTGTCATAGTGACCAGTCATTCCCAGTTGTTCTGCTGTTAGGGTCAATTTGCATATTACCCTTTTATTATATAGGATTTTATTGATAGAGGCCTGGTGCATGGGTGACAGCCGGCTGGGGGTCCCTCTGGGGTGCCTGGCCAGCCTGGGTGAGGGGCTGAGGGCTGTTTTCAGGCTGGCCACACTCCCTTCAGGTTGGGGGTGCCCACTGGGGTGCCTAGCCAGCCTGGGTAAGGGGCTGATGGCCGTTTTCAGGCTGGCAATGCCCCCCGGTGACCCAAGCTCCCAGCCTCTCCTTTTTTTTTCTTTCAGTGCCTCCTTGAGTGGAGGCCAGGGTGGGCTGGAATCAGGTATCTGGGGTTTATTTATCTTCTATAATTGAAACTTATAATTGTAGCCTTGAGCGGAGCCCAGGTCCGGCCAGGGCAGGTGGGAAGCTGGGCTTCCTCCATCACCAGGGGCAACCGAAGCCTCCTGCTCGCTCCAGCTCCATGGCCGCCGCCATCTCAGTTGGGTTAATTTG